GAAATCCACTTGCAAAGCACCATTCCTAACCTTAATTATAAAGAAAGAAAGCAGCAAAACTGAGTCAGGACCAGCTACCTACACCTCATTAGTCTAGCACTCCCCACATGTAAGGGTGGGGTTAGCTTAGCACCGGGAGCCCAGAATTATCTCAACTTCAAAGTATATGGGACATTATATCATTAGCCTATGTAACATCGTGGCCTATATATGCAAATCAAAGCCCCGCTCACAGAAAGCTTCAGTAGGTTTTAGCAACCTCCAATTATACAGTATGTTCTTGAATGAGCCCTTAAAGGTTAAAATGACATTCCATGATGGGAGTATTCTCGTTAGAGTAGCAACGTATAGCCATCATGTCCCAACAGACTTGAATCTAAATTTGCCCCTCCTGAGGCTTTAGCCTACTTTATAAGATGGGCAGAGGTTAATAATGATAACAGTAAATTAATCTGAAGCGAGGGTTTCTTTTTGTCTTCCAAATGAGTTATTTCTGGTTGTAAGAAAAAGGTGAGCGGGATATTTAACAAAGAGTAAAAATAAGATAGCAAAGAAAAGTCACAGCCAAGGTTGTTTGAGAAAATGGCCTAAACTTCATTTTATTATTCAGGCCCTGAATGTGTCCTTCCCTCCAAAGAAAAGGGATGACTCGAGACAGACATGAATGAAACGTAAAGCTTATGACTTATTTAAGTGTATAAAGGTCATTGTACTTTCTTACATCTTATGTAAAGGTCTGCCTACACACAGGACATAGTAGATACTACTATTGTTTACACACACACACACACGTTAGAGATGAAAGTAAGCAGAACTTTCAAGCTCTAACAGAACTGAAACTTTTTGCAGTGTACTTACTTACTTACTGTGAGTGTCGGGGGGGGGGTCTTGATTAATTTGAGCTACTACACACAGGCAGTTTATATGTGTGATAGTATCTCAGTGCTTGCATTTATCCCAAAGAGTTTTCCCTGTTTAGACACTCCCAATAAACAATGCTTCTGTGTGACACAAGAAAGCTGCGAGAAACACACACACACACAAACTAACTCTGCTGCTAATTGCTCTGCCATGGCTTTTACAGTTCATTTGACATCGAAGGTGCTACATAGTGTCGATGAACATGTGTAGTGTTTTTAGTGTGACTGTGTGACAACTATGTGCACGCATAACAGCTGCTGTGGTAGAGGGTGATGGGCAAGGTGTTAAAGAGACAGATAGTTGGTGAAAGGTAGGAGGGGGAGATGTGTAAGCTGATGAAATGCAGGATAATCTTAGCCTAGGGCAAGTACACAGTTATTTGTAGTGTGTGTATGTGAGTGGGTGGAAGGTGATCAAAACTTGCCTTCACAAAACGTACTACTTTTGAACTGCTTGTGTAAGCATCTTTATGTGCACGTGTGTGTTTGTATAGTAAACAGCGAAGTGTTTAACAAAATTTTCCATTTTAGATCTTTATGAGCTGCACATACTGTATGACAGGTC